AAAAATGCTTGTGATCATTAGCCATTCAAAAGATATAAATTAAAACAACAAGGAGTTACCATCTCACCCCAGCATTTAATTAACAATTAATTAGATGTTAAAAAAAAAAAAAAGAAAACAAAAATGCTGGTGAGAGTGTAGAGATACTAGAATCTTCCTACATGGCTAGTGGGACTGTAAAATAGTGCAACCACTGTGGAAAACAGCATGGTGGTGGTTCCTTAAAATGGGTGGGGAATGTCCAACCCTTGTGCCGTATACAGACATCATAATCATTTTGTCTGATTCTACCAAGGCGACCGCAGTTCCACCCATCACATTGTTTTTGGGGTGAGTTAATTAAATGTGTGATCAAATATAGCAGGCTAATTTTTTTTTTTCTTTTTTAAAGCTTTTATTGTGAATTGAGTGATAGTTTACTGGGAGAACATCGGTTTTACACTCAACCAATAGTACTTTGTTTCATTGCAATGATTACAATCCCCTTCATGCACCTTTGGTTAATAGTGTTTGCCTCTATTCCCTCTTTTTTTTTTTTTAATGTACACAAAAACACAGAGGAATATATAATTGTTTAAACAGCCAAAGGGCACATTTTACAAGCCAGGCTCCTGCCCACCAGCACACAGCCTTTCTCTTCCCATGAGTCTAGGGTCCTCAGCTGCTCTATGTCTCTATGCCATCACCTCTGCCTCCATCTCTGGTATCGCTGCTTCTCTGATTAGAATCCCACATTCTGCTCATGCTATTCCCTTTTGATGGTCCTAGGGTCCTCTGTTCCTGGCATATAAAATTAACTACTCCCCCCTTTTTGTTACACACCTTCTACCTTTACAGTTGTGGCCATCACAATTAGTCATGATGACAATTACTCACTATTGAATCAAAAGAATCCTGTTCCCTTCTCCTTTCACCAGACCCATCTAGACAAGATGAAAACTATCCAGTGGGGAGCCTACCTTCCCAAGCTCGCTCTGAAACTAAATAAACTCTCTCTTGAAAACTTGTAAACCAGCCACTTCATGCCTTTATAGTCCCCTAGCCCCCACCCCACCCCCACACACATTTCAGGTAGCCAATATCTAAGTTGCCTGTCTCTATTAACCCTGTAGACTGAGGGGATAGGCTTAATCCTTGAAGTGAAGACTCCTTCCCTCTTGGTTGGTATATTGAGCTACTACATCCATAAGTAAAGATCAAGTTCATCAACTTATAGCAATTTATACTTGCTTCCTGTATCAAACATCTTTATTTTCCTCTAGTCGAGTTCTGATGATCAAGCCATTCAAGTTAGGTCAGATGGGTACTATCTGCAAGTTTGTTCTTGAAGCACTGGACTCTCCCCCAAGACTTCAGACCAACCAGCCCTTCCTCCTCTGTCTCATCTCAAGGTCAACAGGAGTCTATGGAACATGATTGAACTCAGCCCATATCTTCATTACTGCCTTTCACCCACTTCCACTCACAAGTACACCAATGCGGGCATTTGCAAGCTTACATGCCTGCTCGTGTGTTCCCTTTGATTTTCAGTCTTGGAAGGGGATTTGTCCTTATGTCCTGAAAATTTAGCAGGCTAAATTTTAAGTTGATAATTTTGTATGGCCTGCAAATGATGTTATAAATTTTGGCAGAATAAAGATTACCCATCCGTGCCTTAAAATGTTGAAAACGGGAATAACTGTATAACCCAGAAACTCTATTTGGTATATATCCTAGGAAAATAAAAGCTTTGACACAATTAACTCTATGCACACTGTGTTCACCACAGCATTATTCACAATAGCAAAAAGATGGCGACAACCTAAACGCCCATCAATGGAAGAATAGATAAACAGACTTTGGTACATACACACAGTGGACTATTAATGCCATGTTAAAGAATAACCATGAATCTGTGAAATATCTCATAGCGTGAATGAACCTGGAAGATACTATTCTGAGTGAAATCAGTCAGTCCCCAAAGGATTTTTTATGAGACCACGATTATAAAAAGTCAAGAAAAGGTTTTCACACAAAAAGAAATAACTCTTTGATGGTTACCAGGGATGGGAAAGGAAGGGAAGGCAAATTATTGACTAGAAGGTAGACACATGTTAACTAGGTCAAGGAGAAAGCAATGTACAATAAGATGGAGGTCAGCTGAAAGTAAAAGTGACAGGAGAAGACTCTGATAGGAGGACAAGAGTTAAAGACAACAGAGGTAAATACTGTTACATACACAGTCCTGCAGTAATGGTGATTTACCAGTAGATGCGTGGATAATGGGAAGGAGAATGGAAGTACACCCACATGTATATAGGCTTGACAGAGGATATGTGTTCTCCTGTGGCACTGCAGGATAAGCACTTCTGACCACAAAATCAGTGGTTCAAACCTACCAGCTGCTCCTCAGAAACCCTATACAGGATCACTATGAGTCAGAACTGACTCCATGGCACTTAACAACAACATTTGTACACGGGCATTTATCTTTACTGCAAGTATATTCATGAATGTGGTAGAGCATACAGAGGGTAAAGTTATTAAAATTTCTTAGACATAACCAAACACCATGAGGGAATTCATCACTGCTCCTCAGGGCTCAGTACCATGGTCTCAGAAGACACTAAGATCAATTGGCATAATACAGTCCACAAAGAGTGTTCTGCATCCTACTTTGGTGAGTAACGACTGGAGGCTTAAAAGCTCGTGAGCGGCCATGTAAGTTGCTATTGTTGGTTTTCCCCTGAATGGAGGAAAGAGGAATGAAGAAAGTAGAAGATGCACAGAAACATTAGTCCAATGGACTGATAGACCATAGCATCAGTTTCCACAAGCCTAAGACCAGAAAAATTAAATGGTACCCAACTACCACTACCAGCTGCTCTGAAAGGGAGCTCATTAGGGAGTCCTGGATAGAGCGGGAGAAAATATGGAACAAAACTCAAAATCATAAAGAAGAATAGGCTTATTGGTCAGATGGAGAATGTATAGAGTGCTGAGATTATGGCCTTTAGTCACCTTTCAGATCTGGATATAAACTCATCCCCAGGGCTCTGTTTTCACCCTTACAATAGACAGGTCTCTAAGGGGAACAGAAACACTAGTGCATGCCTTAGAGTAATCAGGAGTCCTGGTGTGATGATGCAGAGTAAGCACTAAACTGCTAACCACAAGATTGGCAGTTCAAGCCCACCTTGGAAATCCCATACAGACCATTTAAGAGCGAAGGGGCAGCATTTACCTAAGGACAAAGTTCAAAAGGATTGAGAAAGGAGGAGGAATGATGGTACCTGAAAACCTAGGGTGTCGGTGGGATAAGTGATGTTAGACATTGTAAGTATTACAATCAGTGGCATGATACAAAATGTACATGAATTGTTGAATAGAAGCTTGATTTACTCTTTAAACTTTCACCTGATTCATAATAAAAAGTTAAACATTTTAAAAATAAACAATACTGGCTCTTAGGATGCACAGTGCCCTATATATTTTTGGTTCTATCACTGTTGATCACAGGCACTGCACTCATTTCACAGTGGGCTCGTTGGAACCCACAGACAATTCAAAAAACACTGTCCTGTTGCTGTAGACTTTCAATGTAGACCTGGGTAATCAGAAGTTCCCTTCTGTTCCTATTAAGTTTGTATCATAAGATGTGCTGACTTTTTTTTTTTTAGCCTTTTTTTGTGAATTGGGTGAAAGTTTACAAGTTGTGCTGACTTACCAAATGTGTTTTCCATAACTCTTACAATCTTGTGACTTTCTCCTTTTATCTACTAAGATGGCCAAATACATTAGTAGATTTTTCTAGCATTAAACCATCTTTGCATTCCTGGTGTAGCTTCATTTGGCTGTTTTCTCTCCTTGTATATGTGTATGTGCTTGCTATCATACATTGCTATGTTTAATTTGTCACTAATTTATTTACATTTTTGCATCAGTGTTCGTAAGTTTTTCATATTGTCCCTATTTGATTTTGATACCAAGATTAGGTTAGTTTCATAAGAGGAGTGGAGAGGGCAGCCCTTTTTCCACTCCAGAGCATTTTGCATAATGTTAGAATTGTTGCTTCCATGTTTGCTAGAACTGACCACTGTGTTCTTGTGGGTTGGGTGACGTGAGGACAAGAGATTTAAATGAGTACCTCCATTTCTTTTGGTAGGGTATTCTCATTTTCCTTAAATCTGTTTACTAAGTTACAGTTTTCTAATTGTTCATAGTATCTGTTTTCTAGCATATTAGTATAAACTTGTTTAGAATATTTTCCTAACTGTTCTTTTCAATCTCTGTGTGTCTGGGTCCCATTTTCCATGTGTTCTTTGTGTCTTCTCTCATTTTTTAACTTGTGGCTACCTCATTCCAGTTTCTGCCTTCGTCTTCCCTATGTGTCTGTCTCTGTCTCTGTTTTATAAGATCACCACTCATACTGGGTTAGGGACCCTCTTACTTTGGTATGGCTCCATGTTATCTGCAAAGACCTGCTTCTAAAGAAAGTTACATAAGGTTTAACACTTACACGTATCTTTTTGGGAAACACAATTCAACCCACTAACAATTGGTCACTCTTAAAATTTTTAACATAATTCTTGACTTAACAAAGTCTAAAGTTCATCGGTGTCTCCCCATCAACACACGGACCTTAAAATACTTCACCCTCTCTTGTTTTGCATGTGTATTATTGTCTTCTGGTGTTTAATTTCTACCTTAGTACTGTGTCTCCAAAGATAGCTGTGGGTGTTGTGAGTCTTAGTTATAATTGAGGGTAAAGTTCAGATACCCTAGTATAGTTTACAAAGACCTGTCCTCCGCCTAAGCCTCGTCTTTCTCTCTCACCACTTCCCAGACACAGTCCAGCCTAATAAACTCCTGTTATTTATAAGTTTATTCTTGTCCTCTCACCCTTCCGAGCCTTTATATATGGTTTCTCCTTTTTTCTGTACCCTCCTTCCCTTGTCTAGTTTCCCCTGGCTGGTTCCTGCTAATCCTTCATGCTTTAGTTTGGGCCTCAGTTTCTCCAGGAAGTTGTTCCCACTTATCCCCAAGCCTGAGTCGGCTCTTGTGAGAATCCTGTGTACACCTGTACCACCTTCTGTGTGCCCACCATTTAACAGCCAGTTTACCTCAACATTACTTGAGGTGCAGGACTTTGGGCTTTTTTGTTCACTGTTGTTCCTCAGCACCTAACAAAGAGCCTGGCATACAGTTCAGTACATGGTTGCTATGACTGTTATCAGCACCTTCATCTATCATAACTCTCACATGTCTGCTTGTTGTATAAATAGCTTTTAAGCATGCCAAGGAGCTTAGCGTTAAGTTACAAGATTGACAAGGGCAAGCATTGTTTAAGAGCCACATGTGAGGCCTTTGTTTGTCACTTATTCAATCATTTGCCCTTTTCACACTAGGAACTAACCCAGGAGTGTGATGAAAAGAAATCTCAGTATGATAGCTGTGCTGCAGGCCTGGAAAGCAACAGGTCCAAATTAGAACAGGTAAGAACCAAATTTAGCAAAAGCTGCCAGTGCGCATATACTTCCACTACACCACCCTCAAAGGAGCCTCAAATCCGTGTTATCACTTTGAGTTTCCTGAATTTCATAGAGTTTCTTCAAACTTAATGTTTACAAATGGATTTCTCCTTCTGTGCTGCAACCGTTAAGTCTAAGCCACCGTCATCTCTTTCCTCTTCTCCCACATAACCTTTCCCTATATCCAGTCTTGCCCTTCTAAAGTTTATTCTCCACAGAGCAGCCAGAGAAACCTTTTTGGATCTTAGTTCATCCTCTGTTGGCTTCCCACTACAGCTCAGATGAAATCTTACTTTCAAACTGTGGGCCCCAAATTGACTTCATGTCCATTTCACTCCTTGTCTGCAGAATTCCAGCCATGCTGGCTTCCTTCCTGCCCTTCACATCGGGCAAGCTCCTTGTCACCTTGGAACTTTTATAGTTGCTTGTTCCTCTACCTGGAGCGCCCCCACATCACCCCTAACTCTTTGCCTTTTCATCTTTCAGATCATAGCCTCCTCATCACCTCCTCACAGACATCTTCTCTATCTACCATTGCCCACTCTCTTCCCAACGTGACCCCCTCAGCCACTCTCTCCCACTGTCCCACTGAGTTTCCTCCAGAGCACTTATCCCCTTCAGAAATGACCAGAGTTAGGTATGACCTGTTTATGCCTGTTTCCTCTATTCAGATGAGAGCAGCGACCTATCTCTCATGTTTACAGCTGTATCCCCAGCACCTAGAGCATCGCGGGACATACAGCATTAAATATATAAAATTTTAATAAGTGAGGGCTTTAGAACTCCCTGAGTAGTCTAAAGGTTGTAAGCTATTATGTTTCAGAATACAAAGTTAAAATTGCCAAAGAGCAAATGACACTAATGGTGTTTCATTTGTTATATGTTGAAAGTATACCTCTGTGCCTGTGTATTACTCTTTCAATAATATTGCCCATTTATAATGCTATATTATAGGAAGTTAGAGGACTCCGTGAAGAATGTCTTCAAGAAGAAAGTAAATACCATTATACAAACTGTATGATTAAGGTAAGACAAAGAAAATGGATCTAAAGCTTTTCTGAGATGTTTTTTAACATCAAGGATGTACCTAAAATGTAGTCTTTTCTCTTAGAACCTAGAAGTACAACTTCGCCGGGCTACTGATGAGATGAAGACTTATGTCTCTTCTGATCAACAAGAAAAAAGAAAGGCAATTCGGCAAGTACTTTTGTTGTTTACATAGTGAAACTTATTATTTTCACTTATGGAAGTTTGACAATTAAGATGGAATTGTACATATTTGGAGTACTTTAAAAAAGCATATTGTCATTGTTGTTATGTGGCATCAAGTTGGTTCGATTCTGTATTGCATTTCCAAGAACGTCTGGTAGGTTTGCACTGCCAGCCTTGTGGTTAGTAGTCCAATACTTACCCTATCCTACAGCACTATACCAGAGCTCAAAAAACATGTATGTTGTTAAGTGCCATCAAGTTGGTTCCAACTCATAGGGTCCCTGTATAGTGTTTCCAAGAAGCAGGTCATAGCTTTGAACTGCCTGCCTTGTGGTTCAAACTGACTTTATAGTACAGTGCTCTGTCGTACTATATGGTATTATTAGGGACTAAATCTTGTTAAACATCTTCTGAGTATTGCAGTCCTAATAAGTAGATAGGAATGCATATAATTTTATAGTTGGTTTTGTTTCTGTCTTTTTAATAAGTGCTGAGATTGGTCTCTTGTAAAATGCCCCCTATAGACTTGGACTCCAACTATCTGCCTACTGTTTAAGCAGTGTGAGTGACAACATTTCAATTAGGAAACTGTGATCGCGGTGTGCCAGCTTTCAGAAAGAGAAATGGGTTCAAATACCCCCAGGCCTTATGTGGTGATTTTTTTTTTGTACTCTTAGCTTTTTTTATAATCCTAGATTTACTATAATGAATCAAATGCTTCCTTAACAAATTTATAGTGGAATTACTAGCTGTGAGAAGATGCAGTAATTGAAGAAGACAAGCTTTCTTTGCCCTTCATCACAGTTCTAATGTTTTGCTTTTACCATTCTGGAAGAATTCAAATGAAGTGTGGGATTCACTTTTACTGTAGATTGCAGTTGAGAGCTTGAGTGGCATATGCATTATGTTACAAAAAAGGAATCTAAGAAATAGAATCTCTCTGCAGAGTCTACATTTGTTACAGATCTAATACCCTGGAATGTGAGCCAGGCCTAAAATATCCAATAAATTATGACTTTTTTTCTAGTAGAGTAACATATTTAACTAAAAAGGTACTTATTCAGATTCTTTCATGAAATGTAAGCTTTGCTCAAAGAAATCTATATGGCCAGGGCTAAGAAAGCTGAAAAGTTAATTTTGTTCTTTAAAACTATTAAGTTTAAAAATTAAGTCTCATATCTTCCAAAGTAGACAATAGAAATAATTTAATTGCTCCTGAATTAAATACTGATTTTCTCATAAATTTTCTAGGCAGATGTTATTTTTTCATAATTTAAAAAGTCATTATAAGCTCTTGCCAGTCACTAGTTGTCCTGTGCCATGCCCAGAGCAATACATGGTAAGAACAAATTGGAATTGGCTACATCTTGCACTCACTGATCTTATGTAAATTATTATTTTATATACGTATATATATAATACTTTCATTGTTACTCCATTTTCAGCATTTATAGTTACTTTCTGGCTTGGCTTTGAAAAATTTCCTGCAGGTGTTTATTTAAAGAAACAACTTGTTTTCGTTCAAAGCACTAGATCCTGGTTCTTATTACTTATTACTTTGTTTCTAACCCTGGTTTTTCCAGTTGTTAGCTGTGCTTCGGCAAGTCACTTCCTCTTCTATAAAACAAGGAGAACAATGTGTACCATCGAAGGTCAAGTTAGATATAATGTACGCAAAAGTGCTTTGAAAATTGTAGTATGATTCCTTTGAGGGCAAGGATCCTGTCAAACCTGTTTTCTACTTTAAACCCTCGGGCATACTTGGCACATAATAGATGCTCTGTAATTATTTCTTGAATAATTAAAAATTAGATGTTAGTATTACATGGGGGAATGGCATGAGCCTGTTGAATACTTGAGACGTTTATACATATATGGAAGTTATAAGGGAATTTGGACAGTTTTCAGACATAAGGTAGTCAATAAATTATTTAAGGCTATCTGAGTTAGATATTCTAGTTTTATTTTACAGTTTTCTCCCATTATACATTTTTTTCTCCCATATGTGTTCATGAGGAAGCTGTACATCGACCATGAGGCAGTCATTTGAACTACTGAATATTAAAATCAGGAAATATGTGTGCAAGGGTTGTGTCCATTCACTGTACTTATTCAGTCTGTATGCTGAGCAACTAATCCTAGAAGCTGGATTACATGAAGAAGAACATGGCATCAGAATTGGAGGAGTACTCATTAATAACCTGTGATATACAGATGATACAACCTTGCTTGCTGAAATTGAAGAGGACTTAAAATACTTATTGATGAAGATCAAAGACTTCAGTATGGATTGCAACTCAATGTAAAGAAAACAAAAATTCTTCACCTCTGGATCAATGAATAACATCATGATAAACAGAGAAAAGACTGACATTATCAAAGCCTTCATTTTACTTGAATCCATAATCAAAACTAATGGAAGCAGCGGCCAAGAAATCAAAAGATGTATTGCACTAGGCAAATCTGCTGCAGAAGACCTCTTTAAAGTATTCAAGGACAAAGATACCAATTTGAGGACTAAGGTACCATTCAAGACATGATATTTTCAGTAGTCTTATATGCATGTGAAAATTGGATAATGAATAAGGAAAACCGGAGAAGAGTCAATGCATTTAAGTTATGGTATGGTGTGTTGGAGAAGAATATTGAAAGCACCAGAAGACTACCAAAAGAACAAATAAATCAGTCTTGAAAGGAGTACAACCAGAATGCTTAGAAGCGAGGATGATGAGACTTCGTTATAAACTTAGTATTTTAAATAACAAAATTAACTTTTCAGCTTTCTTAGCCCTGACCATATAGATTTCTTTGAGCAAAGATTACATTCCATGAAAAAATCTGAATAAGTACCTTTTCAGTTTAATATATTACTCTTATTAGAAAAGAAGTCATAATTTATTGGATATTTTAGGCCTGGCTCACATTCCAGGGTATTAGATCTGTATCAGCCACCACTCGTCTGTCAATTTATCATACTGTGGTGGTTTGTGAGTTGCTGTGATTCTGAAAGGTATGCCACCAGTATTTTAAATACCAGCAG